GGGGGCCCCCTCACCTCCTAGACCCGGCGGGGGCTCTTCTGTCCAGCACCAGCCTCCTGTCTGGGGGGCCCCCCTCATCCCCTAGACCAGGCGGGGGCTCTTCTGTCCTGCACTAGCCTCCTGTCTGGGGGCCCCGCTCCCCCCCTAGACCAGGCGGGGTCTCTTCTGTCCAGCACTAGCCCCTGTCTGGGGGGCCCCCTCACCTCCTAGACCAGGCGGGGGCTCTTCTACCCTGCACCAGCCTTCTGTCTCGGGGACCTTGTTCACCTCCTAGACCAGGCGGGGGCTCTTCTGTCCTGCACCAACCCCCTGTGTGGGGGTGCCTCCCGAGGCTGAGCTTCAGGGCATGATGGGAAGCCTCCCAGCAGTGGGTGGGTGGGGGAGGCAGCCACCTGTACTGTTTGGGTTCCTGCCCTGGCGCTGGGCTTTCCAGAAGTGCACCCTCGTCAGACCGGTAGGAGAGTCTTGCCTTAGAGAAGGCGGAGGAGGACAGCTAGAGACGGGGAGCCCCGACTTTACAAGAGCCCTTCTACTGTTTTTACTTTACGGCGGATGCACAGGCTGCATGAGCTCACAGTGGAGTTGTTCAAGTTGACATTTTGGCCAGAAACTTCCTTCCTGTTTCCTTAGGGCCGCCTCCTCCGCAAACTCCCCCGGAGTCTGGAGCTGAGCTCCTTCCTGTCCACAGGCTTCTGGCCTGCAGCCTCCCGGGGAGCTGGGCAACCCTCTCCTCCCTCTCTCCCCTGCACGGGAGTGGGAGCCGCGGGCTGTGCTCGCTCCACGGGCCTGGGCGCGCTGCCCCTGGCGATTGGGTGCGGCTCAGCGCCCACAGAGGCTGGGGCACGATGCTCTACTTTGTGAAAGTTTTCATCAGCCCGGTTTTCTTTTCCCTTCGATCCTAAAAAACCCGCACGAAACATGACCTCAGGAGGCGGTGGTGTTTAGTGAGCTAGAGACCCGTTTCCGTGGCGCGGCAGAGAGCACACTGGTTTGTCCTGTGCCGGACGGTGCTCTGCGGCGCCCACCCTGACCGTCCGTGTCTGTGTTCCAGGCCCAAGGCCCCGGCTATGGCAGCGGCTACCATAGTGCACGACACGTCGGAGGCGGTGGAGCTCTGCCCGCCGTACGGCCTGTACCTGAAGCCCATCACCAAGATGACCATCAGCGTGGCACTCCCGCAGCTGAAGCAGCCCGGGAAGTCCATCTCCAACTGGGAGGTGATGGAAAGGCTGAAGGGCATGGTGCACAACCACCAGTTCTCCACGCTGCGCATCTCCAAGAGCACCATGGACTTCATCCGCTTTGAGGGTGAGGTGGAGAACAAGAGCCTGGTCAAGTCCTTCCTGGCCTGCCTGGACGGCAAGACCATCAAGCTCAGTGGCTTCTCCGACATCCTCAAGGTGCGCGCCGCCGAGTTCAAGATCGATTTCCCCACCCGCCACGACTGGGACTCCTTCTTCCGTGACGCCAAGGACATGAACGAGACGCTGCCGGGTGAGCGGCCAGACACCATCCACCTGGAGGGCCTGCCCTGCAAGTGGTTCGCGCTCAAGGAGTCGGGCTCCGAGAAGCCCAGTGAGGAGGTTCTGGTCAAGGTGTTCGAGAAGTTCGGGGAGATCCGCAACGTGGACATCCCCATGCTGGACCCCTACCGGGAGGAGATGACTGGCCGCAACTTCCACACCTTCAGTTTCGGGGGACACTTGAACTTCGAGGCCTACGTGCAGTACCGCGAGTATGTGGGCTTCATCCAGGCCATGAGCGCCCTGCGCGGGATGAAGCTCATGTACAAGGGTGAGGACGGCAAGGCCGTGGCCTGCAACATCAAGGTGAGCGCCCGCTCGGCCGCCTGCTCTGGCCCGTTTCAGAGTCGGGGGCAGGCCCCTTCAGGTGGTTTGGTGGCCACGGGACAGCTGGCTGCCCTCGTTCGTGGAGCAGAGGCCCCATCACGGCCGGCCTGGTGGCCTCGGTCCAGGGGGACGGCGGGGCCCTGGTAGCGGGAGGGGACACGCTGTCTTGGAAAAGGTGACATTCTCCTTTCCAAACGAATGGTGCAGGCCAGGCGTGTCTGTCGGTGCGTGCTTCCCGCCTGAATTGCCGGGGGAGTTCACGGTTGAGCCCCGAAGCGGCTGTGTGTGTCCGGATGTGCCTGTGGGATCCGGACCCCACGTCCTGGGCAGGCCGCGCTCGAGTCGGGGTTCTCTGGAACGCACGCGTTCCGTGCAGTCGGGCAGGGCCTGCTGCGTAGCGGGTGCCACCTTGGTCCGAAGCTTGCTTGTGTGTGATTGTGCTCTGCACTCTGGTTTTCCCCCGAAGGTTTCCTTCGACTCCACCAAACACCTGAGCGACGCCTCCATTAAGAAGCGGCAGCTCGAGAGGCAGAAGCTTCAGGAGCTGGAACAGCAGAGAGAAGAGCAAAAGCGCCGAGAGAAGGAGGCGGAGGAGAGGCAGCGAGCGGAGGAACGGTGGGTGTGCAGACGCGGGGCCTCCGCACAGCCGCTGGAAGCCTGCGTGCGCACGCGTGTCTGTGTCTGTGTGCGTCTGGGTACGCGCATGTGTCTGTGTGCACGTGTGTGTGCGTGTGCGTCTGGGTGCGCATGCGTCTGTGTGCGTCTGCGTGCGCGTCTGGGAGCATGTGGGTTTGCGTGTGTGTGCGTCTGGGTGCGCGTGTGTCTGGGTTCATGTGCATCTGGGTGCGCATGTGCATCTGCGCGTGCGTCTGCGCGTGTGCGTCTGTGTTCTGGGTGTGTGCATGCGTCTGGGTGTGTGTGTGTGTGCGTCTGGGTGCGTGTGCGTCTGTGCATGTGCGTCTGGGTGCGCATGTGCGTCTGCGTCTGGGTGCGTGTATCTGCATCTGGGTGCGTGTGTCTGTACGTCTGGGTGCGCGCGTGTCTGCCTGTGCGTTGGTGCTCGTCTGTGTCTCGGTGTGTGTGTGTGTGCGCGTGCGTCTGGGTGCGCGTGCATCTGTGGGCACATGCATCTGTGCACGTGTGTCTGCCTGTGCGTCTGCGCGTGTGCGTCTGTGTTCTCTGTCTGCATCTGGGTGTGTGTGTGCGTCCGGGTGCGCGTGTCTGCGTGTGCGTCTGGGTGTGCACGTGCATCTGCGTGTCTGCGTGTGCGTCTGGGTGCGCGCGTGCGCCTGCGTGTGTGCGTGTGCATCTGGGTGTGTGTGTGTTGTGTCTGGGTGCACGTGTGAGTCTGGATGAGCGTGTGTGCGTCTGGGTGCGTGTGTGGGTCTGTGCATCTGTGTGTGCTGTGTCTGGATGCGCGTGTGCGTCTGGATGAGCGTGTGTGCGCGTGTACGTCTGGGTGGACGTGTGTGCATCTGGGTGCTCATGTGTCTGGGTGCGTCTGCCTCAGTGCGTGTGTGCGTCTGGGTGCGTTTGTGTGCTTGTTGCGCGTCTGGGTGTGTGCATGTGTCTGTGTGTGTGTGCATGCGCCCCCCCCCCCCCCGCCCCCGGAGGCCTGGACCGCGCCTCCTGTTCCCTGGCCGTCGTGCACTCAGCGCGGAGCTCTGTTAGCTGCCTGGATGGGACACCTGACGAAATCGGCCACATTCTAGTAGGAACGGTTTCTATTTACAGGCTGTCATCGATTCCTTTTCAGGTCATTCAGGTGTCAGGGGGCACGCCGGGTGACCGTTCTTGCCCCCGTCGCTCTTCTGCCTTCCCCCTGCTGCTGGGTGCACCTTCCCCTCCAACGCAGAGGGAAGGGCGACTCTGGACTTAGATTTTGCTCCAGAGTCCAGTTGTGGGGCAGCGGGTCCAGACTGCGTGCGTTATTCCTGACCCAGCTCCACGTTGTTCCCCAAGGAGAGGCGGCTCGCTGGCGTGTGCAGGCCGGGCCGTGTGTGGGGGCGTGGCTGGGGTGGGGGAGCCCCACGCAGCTGGCGGGAGCCCCAGAGCGAAGCAGACGGCTGGGGCAGGAGCACGCTGGCTGCAGAGCCTTGCTGCAGATGCTGCCTCTGGAGCTGGCGCCGTGGGTTGTATAGTGAGCGACCCCTCCCTGCATTCGCACGCTTCTGGGCCGCAGCGGGGAAGGCCGAGGTGGTGGGCTCTGGCAGACGCTGGGAAGCGTGCACAGCAGCCCAGCCCTTGTCCTGAGCACTGACCGTGACCGCATGCCCCCGGGCCCCCCGACAGCCTCTCAGGAGGCACTGGGGGTTCTCACCAGAGGCACGGTGTCCTGGACCTTTACAGTCGGAACAAGTGGGCGCTTGGCTTTTGAGAACAGGCTTCTCTGTCTGTCTGGGCTGGAAGTGTGATGAGGACAGACAGTTCCCGGGGAGCAGGCAGCGCCTCTGCTGTGCTCACGGGGTGCTGGTTGGGGGCAAGGCTGTCCCCGCGGAGCCCACTGCCGCCCCCCATAGCCCTTTCTCGGCCTGAGTTGCAGGCCGGCCCCGGGGAGTGTGGGTGCCCGTCCTCGGTCACTGACGCATGTTCATCTGGCTGGTTCCGTGTCACGGAGGGGTGGAGCTGGCTGGTAGCTGTCCTGCTGTGGCACGTGACAAGCCCCGGGCCTCCAGGTCCGCCTCCGCTCAGAGCTGCGCCTGCCTCTGGGGGCCCCCAAGGCTGCTTGGACCCACGGCTCTTGTAGCTGGCGGGGCCTGGACACCGGCTGTGGTGGAGCCTTCCCACACGCGGCCCTCTGTGCCCACTGAGGCCCTGCAGCTTTTCCTGCTCGCTGGGGCGAGCCCCCGGCCCCGTGCCTCCCTGCGGCCGCGAGGGGGTTTGTGTCCTTGTGCGTTCCCCCGGGCGCGAGGTCTCTGCGATGCCGGCGTCCCCTGGCCGGGTGGCTCTTCCGCAGCCTCTGGGCCTCCTGCCTGGGCGTGGGGGTCTCGCCTCGTGTGTCCTGGCCCACCCCGGGCAGCTCTCAGTGTTTGAGCACGTCCATCGTTTATCCGACTAATTTTGAAGCCAAAGTGCAGGTGAGGGTGTCTGTGGGAACACACCCCGTGGTTCTTGCAGATTTTCTCTGGGGGGGTCTCTGTCTCTGCTGGTTGCACTTTGATCCTCATTTTGCCCCCCCCCCCCCCCCCGCCGAAAGCAATGGATCTGATCTGTTGTGCTCGGTATGGGTTTGTTTTAAAGAAAACCCACCATGTCCAGGTGGTTCTTGTCTGGCCACGCGATACGGTTTCCGTACGCGGGTACACGCTTTCGGGGACCCCCGGTCTGCGGAAACACAGCCCAGTGCACGCCGTCCTTGGTTTTCTGTCACTGGGGGTTTGCTTTTTCTAGAATCTCCCACAAAGGGCATCACAAGGTACACAGTTTTCTGCGTTTAGTTTTTCCTTAGCAAAGTGCTCCCAGAACCTTCCACGTGGCCGTGCACATGTGTATTCCATTCCTTGCAGCGGCACCCCACGGCCTGTTTGCAGAGCCCTGGTGATGGACGCTTTGTGCCCAGTGGGAGACGTGTCAGCATGGCCTGTACCCTGAGTGGTTCTCAGCTGACGGCCGTGCGCAGTCAGTTCACTGCCCCGGCCCCGCGGTGTCGGATGGGTTGGCGTGCCGGCGGGCTGTGGAGCGTGTCCCGACGCTCCCGTCCGCCCCCTGCATTTTCTCCTGGACACGGACTTTGCTCCGCCCGCTTGTGTGCATCCTCCCTCGTGAGGCAGGAGCGCTGTGTGTCAGGTTCCGGCTGGCGCTGTGGCAGGAGGTCCCCCGGGCCGCCCTTGGCCTGTGTACCTCTTGCTGTGTCTCATTCAAACCCGAACTTTCTGAGTCAGTCACACCTACCCGTTCTTCTCTTCGTGTCTGTGAGTTCGTTAGCAAGACCCTCCCTCGAAAGGTTCTGAGAATCCTGTCAGTGTGCGTCCCCACGTGCCCAGTTGCTTGGATTCAGCCGAAACCTGTCTGGGGGATAAAGCATTAAAATGACCGCTCTCCTGAACGTGCTCCGCTACCCGCCTCCCCCCCCAGCCCCCTGACTTAGCTCTCCCACTTGGCCGCGGCCTGAGCGCTCAGCCGCAGCGTGCCGCCCGTGCTTAACGGAGCCCTTCGTGTATTTTGTGCAGGAAGCAGAAGGAGCTAGAAGAGCTGGAGAGAGAGAGGAAGCGAGAAGAGAAGCTGCGCAAGAGGGAGCAGAAACAGAGGGACCGCGAGTTCCGCCGGAACCAGAAGAAGCTGGAGAAGCTACAGGCGGAGGAGCAGAAGAAGCTGCAGGAGAAGATCCGGCTGGAGGAGCGCAAGCTGCTGCTGGCTCAGCGCAACCTGCAGTCCATCCGGCTCATCGCCGAGCTGCTGAGCAGAGCCAAGGTACAGTGGGCGGGCGCGGGTGCTCTTGTCCGGCAGCCCGGGCTGCGCCGTCTCCCGCTGCAGGCCACCGTCTGCGCGTCTCTGACACGTGCGGCCAGCGTCACTGCCCCCGTCCCCCGGCTGGTCTCAGCCACGGACGAGAATGAGCGTTAGGACCGACGGGCAGACCGTCAGCTGGTAGTGTGTGTGGCCTTCCTACCTCGCTCCAGATTCTAGAATGTGCCGTTGTCTCGCGGAGTTGGGAGAACTTGGACTTAGCGTAGCATGTATTCACGCCTCCCAGGCACGGTCCCGAGAGCCTTCCGGGAGCTGGGGCGCAGGGTCACCCTTTGGCCCAGAGCAAGGGAGTGGCTGAGCTCACCGAGAGTGCCCTGGTCCCCATGGCTCTCTTCCCGCTGCAGATGGCTCTGCGCATGGCCGTCGGCACGGTGGGCTTTGCGCCGACCCCGCCAGCCAACGGCCAGGGGCGGCGGGAGGGTAAGGGCTGAGCCTGCTGATAGAGAGGGGCCCTGCGGCATCCCTGGGACCTCAGGGTGCACTATGGAGCCTGCTTGGGCCACGTCCCTCCTCCACAGCCGTGGATCTGACAGGTCTCAGCCGGTGCTGTACGGATATGCGCCTCAGTGCTGACAGCCTTCTCGTTCCTCCCACCCGCTCCTTCCGGAGGCCCGACGGTAACTCCTGCGAGCCGGGGGCCGGGGACACACGGGGATCTCGCCCGGCACTCCTTGTGCTTGGGCAGGCCGCGTGCCCCCGCGGAGTGAGGCGCGGGGCGACCCCATAACCTGTTGTCTAATTACAGTTGTGATAAGTCCCCGGGAAGGAGACTGGCAGGCGCGCTGAGACGTGGCAGCTCAGCTCTTGTTTCATGGTGAATATTGAAGACGCTAACCCAGCCTAGGCCCCGCACGTCCCGCGGCGGCCACGGCAGCGTATGTCCGCATTGTAATCTTAGCTCCCTGTTGCTGGTGACCGCTTGTGACCTCACGGCAGGTCCCGTGTGTGCCTCGGAGGGGCCAGGCCCCACCCGAAATGCCCGCCCCGGGGCTGTGCCACGTAGCTTGGCCACGGGGTTTCCTGCTCGCTCGGACGCATGACGGCCCGGGCGTGGTAGGGACGGGCGGGCCGCACTCCGGCCAGAGCGTCCACCCGGTACCCCCCAGGCCTCGGGGCATCTACAAACCCAGCGCCTGCTCGGAGCGTGCAGGGGACACGGAGGTACATGTCCGCGCCTTCCCCTTTGTGCTGCAGGCAGTGAAACTGCAGGAGCAGGAGCGGAAGGAGGAGACGCTGCGGCTGCAGCAGCTGGAGGAGAGGCGGCGGCTGCAGGAGGCCGAGCTGCGGCGCGTGGAGGAGGAGAAGGAGCGGGCCCTGGGGCTGCAGCGCAAGGAGAGGGAGCTGCGGGAGCGCCTGCTGAGCATCCTGCTGAGCAAGAAGGCCGACGACCCGCACACGCAGGATGAGCTCGGGGTCTCCCACGCAGACCTGCTGCAGCCCGTGCTGGATATCCTGCAGACCGTGTCGGCCAGCTGCGTGGGCGCTGCCTCCCTGCATCCCCTTGTGGGCCAGCCCCCCCCCAGCACCCCAAAGGAGACCCCACCCCGGCTGGAGACCGACAGCACGCCGAAAAACGTGAACGGGAGCGTGGCCGAGGGGGCCCAGTGCAAGGAAAGCCTGAATTCTCGTCTTGCCGCCGCAGGTGACAGCTCCCCTGACAAGAGGTGCCCCGGTGTCCTCTCCTGCATTCCCGACAACAACCAGCAGCCCAAGGGCTTGCCCGCCGCCGCCGCCGCCGCCGCCGCCTGTGACCAGAGCGTGCCCAAAAAGGACATCCGTTCTGAGCAAGACAAGTGCAACCGCGAGCCCAGCGGGGGCCGAGGCCGGGCCAGCGGGGGCCGGGGGGAGGACGACAGACACAAGCGAGAGAGGAGCCGGCCGCGGCGGGCTGGCAGTCGGGAGGACGGGAGGCAGGGACGGAAGGAGCGGCGGCAGCACAAGAAGCACTCACGCCAGGATGACAGCCCCCAGCGGCGGAGCGCGAGCCCCGACCACAGCCGGTCCCGGAGATCCCATAGCAGAGAGCGGTCCAGCCGGAGGGAGAGGAGCCGAGACCGCAGGGGCGGCTCGGGCAGGAAGCGTAGCCGCCATGGCCACGGTGACCGAGACAGGTCACGCTCAGGGTCCCCCAGCCGGCACCGCAGCGCATGGAACAGGTAATGCAGGGTGTCCCCCCACGCGGCCACCCAGCGAAGACCAGGACCCGTGGGGCTTCTTGGCTCCTCTTCTGCCCAGCCTCCGCAGAGCACACAGCCAAGGAGCCACCCATGCAGGAGGGCCACGCGTGACGATTCTCCCTTCATTAACATCTGGTGGCCTTTATGTTCCGTACATGTAGTCCTCAATCGCTAGCTTTAGTTTTCCCTTAAAACTGTTGATCCGATAGCTTTAATGTCACCAATTCTCTCTGAATCAGGAAAAACGCACTGGCCGGCAGTGGTGAGAAGTGCATAGCCACCACGTACGTGCAGGCAGAGCAGCATTTCTGTCCCGTTTAGGGACACCCCCACGTATACTGACTTCATGGGAGGCACATTGCACGTCGGGGACAGATTGTCAGAATGGACAGCCATGGTCCCACAGGGCCCTGAAAATTTGAAAAAGGCTTGCCCTGGTGGTGTTTTTTTTCCTTTTTCTTTTGTAATTTTAACTGATGATTGGGAAGTGCACTTGGCAGGATGCCAGTAGAACCCAGTGGTCGTGGCACGTTACGTCACGCACGGAGACAGTGCAAGTCCTTAAGATCAAAACTCGAACGTGCTGTCTTAAGGTATCGGCGCGTGGGGGGTGCTCCAGCATGATCTGATGCTCCTTCACTTCAGAAACATTCATGTGACAAACTGGTGATTATGCATTAAAAAAAAAAAAAAAAAAAAGATTGGTTAAAAGCTTTGGTTTCTAGTCAAGGTTAGTGTGTGTGGTTTTTTTAAGAAGCTGTTTTGCTAAATTATTTTTACTTGGAACGTTTCAAACAGATTTAAGGCTAAAAACTTGTTAAATTTTATAATCATTTGCTTCTCCAAGTGAAGCTCAAGAAATACTTAAAAATAGCTGTAATGTTTGCGTTAGGAAAGATGGTGTTTATTCCAGTTTGCATTTTTTGTGAAATAAAATCTTTTTCCAATGAACTAATACTTTCCATACTTTTTTTTGTTTGTTTAAGCTTTTTGGGCTGTTATTGAACTGAGCCTAGTTTAGCAGGTTTGAAACTGATAGAAATCACTCGCTTTATTTAGAACTCCTGATAGGCAACGATGGATTTCACAGTGCAGTTGTTATTGTAAAATAACCTCGTGAAGAAGAATCCTGGGTCCTAAGAAGCATTCGATTTGTTTACTGAGCACAGGTTTAGCAAATTCACTAAAGCAGTCTTTAAAAGCTAAAGAGCCAGTTTTAAAAAATGAATTAAAGTAGAAGTGGTTCTTTTCTCACGTAGGGTTGTAGCAGGTAGGAGTCAATGCTCCTGCTGGGACTCCAGACTCCCAACAGTCCCTCCGTCTGTCTGCATCTAATTAGCGCGCAGAGCTTGTCAGCATATGGATGGCTGGCCCCATGCCTCCTCCATCCCAGCTCACTTCACTGTCACAAACCAAGATGGACCCAGCAGATTCGCATCTTTCTTTCTCTGGCATGGGTTTTGTCTTGTCTGTCACCTGCTGAGGCGAGGGTGCAAGATGTGCTCAGATGCCCAGGCATTGGAAACGCTTCTCAGAAGTCCTGTCAGGGCCCCTGTAGCCCAGCGCTGAACGTTAGCCCCATCACTGGCTCAGACCGTCCTGGGACCAGGTTTTGGGAAGTCAGGGGGAGGTCTCTGGGGCATGGGGAGATGTCTGCCTGAGCTCAGGAAGGTGGGTTCCTGTGACTAATGTTTTCCAGGCAGAGGTCTGTATGATGGGAACAGACATGTTGTGTTCAAGGGTCAGGGAGGCGCTGTGGCTTGGGAGGTGTCAGCATGGAAGAGCTGACAGGAGACATAAGCACAGACCGGGTCACTTCCAACCTGGAAAGGACAGGTAGGAGGGCTTTAAACTGGTCATGAGGTGATAGGAGAGAGCAAGGGTGAGGAGGGTGCTTGGGGCAACAGGTGTCAACCTGGAACAAGCTGGTGCATCGGGCAAGAGGTTAGGGAGAAAGGGGAAGGGAGGTGTAACTAGGGAGTGTGTGGCCTTCAGGAAGCATAGGATATATATGTGGCTGGGCGGGGGGTGATGGCAGGAGGGGAGGGCCCTAGGAGAGCTGGAGAATGCCGGCCCTGGACCTACAGGATGGGGTGGCACCGGGGAAGACACTCAGGAATCTGAGTTTTGAATACCCACCTCCGCTGGTCTTCACGTACGTTCAAGCCCTGAGCTACAAGGAAGGCGGAGTGGTCACAGTGCTGTCCAGGCGGTTCCACCCTCACTGCCCCAGGGCCTGCGGGGCCTGTCAGTTATTGAACGTAGGGTGGTGCTGACATCTGCAGCAAGGAGATTGCTGTCCTTGCTGTCCTGTCAGGTTTTGCCTTTTGTATTTTGACTCTTTGTTATTGGGCGCATACAAGTTAAGGATGACCCTATTTTGGGAGAACTATCTCCCCGGTCATTTGTGACACTCTTTTACTCTTCGTAGTTTTCCTTGTTCTGAAGTCCCTGGTGGCAAACGGGGAACGAAGGACTGTGTTGGGAAGAGGGGTCCATTATGGTTTATGATGGAGTCCTTGCCACATACACAACATCACAGGGTGTTAGGAGGAAAAGGGTCATGGCTTGAGACATGAGTGCACCCCTCAGGCCAGGTTCTGCACTTGACAGCAATGAAGGGCAGAGGTAGCTGGTCGTGATGTAGCAGATAACCTCTGCAGGCCCCAGAGCAACACCATCTCAAATGTGGAGCCGGAGCCGGAGCGCCTGGTTTTGAACTGCTTTCCCATGCACCTCTGCAGTGAGGATGGGGTCACCAGCGATGAGTGGGGTGGGCGTGAAGGGCAGCGTCTGGGCTCATGTCAGCGTTGGCACCCCTGTCCTCTTGAGTTGGGGTGGGATTTCTCCACGGTACCAGTATTTCCACTTACGTCCTAAGAAATCTGTTTTCTGTACGTGTCTTTAGCCACCAATAGTGGCTCGTAAGAGGGAGTGGAGATCAATCGAAATACATGTGTCACCGGTTAGATTTTATCTTTGCAAACGCACGTGGATTTTTCTGTTTCTTGTGAGGCTACTGTGTTTCCCAGCGGGGTGGGCTAGGAATAGAGAACACATCCTGAAAGAATGGGGTATTTGAGCCTCAGGAGCGTTGTCCTATACGTGACCTGTTAGGCGGGGAGGGAGGTCGGTGTCTCCCCGTGTCTCTGGGTCTCTCTGGGTCTCTGTCATTGGCAGCATTCTTCCCTGAGCCTCCTTCTGGGTGACCACCGTCGTTACGTCATTATGGGGACTGCCCCCTGATCTGTTGTCCTTCCACCTGGCTGGGCTTTGACAAAAGGACAGCCCACTTGCTCTGAAACCAGGGGCGCTTAGTCTGAAACCAGGGGCAACAGAGTACATCCTCGTTCGCTCCCTCTTCGGGTGAGTGAGCTTCTGTGGGCAGAAGGTGTGGACCCGGACCTGGGCATGCTGGGCCGTCGATTCCCCCGTGTCTGCAGTTGGGGTCCCCCCACCCCCATTTGCCAAGAAACTCCCCTGTACCGAGTGTGCGCTGTGTCGCCCTGATCTGAAGCTGTTGGTACGGACTGATGCTTGATTGATGCCAGGGGTCACTGGTGGGGCCACCATTTTCCTTGGCTGCGCCCTGAGGGAGGAACAGGGCAGGGATGTTCTCTAGACCTGAGGGCATCAGCGGTCACCAGGGTGGGGGGATTGGGGGCCCATTCTGAAGCGCACAACCAGTTTCTTTAAAATGTTTACTGTCCGCTTGCATTTTTGGGAAAACAGGTAAAATGCATGTTTGGGAAAATGTTTGCTGCTATAAGCTGTGTGCAGGGGTGTCTGGAAGGGTCCTGCCTCAGGACGGGGCCTGGTTTCATGTCTGCAGGCGCGCTGGGACCACCTGGGGGTGAGCTTACGGTGCCAGCTTCCCCTGGGCAGGTCTGGGGTCCAGGCAGCGGCCCTCTCCCCCACCAGCCCCCCCGCTTCAGGAGGCTCCTTGCTGCCGCCCCGGGGGTATGCTGCATTCCCCGGCTGTGTAGCATCACTGCCCACCCCTGCACCCCTCACTCACCTCTCCCTGCTTCCTTTGGGGCTTGGGAAGTACAGGCGAACCCAGGCTGTGGGGCTGCCCCACTGCCCAGGTGCATACGGGGGAGCCTGAGGTCCCACTTCCTCCTCCAGGCGGCCCATCTGCACCTGAGGAGGCCACAGCCTTAGGCCCCTGCGGTCAGCATGCTGTGCACACAGGCCGCCATCTGCATCCTGCACAGCATAGATGCCTCCCCACAGCCCCCTTCATGCTCAGCTCCTGTGCACACCCCTGCAGGGGGCTGACCCTGATGCCGTCCCTGTCTGGCATGGACCCCGGGCTCACGTCACCCCCCACTGCTCCCGCACAATGGCCAGTGCCTGGCTGCGTGACTGTGTCCCCCCGAAATTCATATCTGAATCCTGATCCCCAAGGTGGTGGGATTAGCAGGTGGGGCCTTGGGGAGGGGATTCGCTCATGAGGGTGTGGCCCCCACGAGCAGGATTAGCGTCTTTATGAGACCCCAGGGAGGCCCCTGGCCTCTCCACTGTGAGGACGTGGAATAGACAGCCATCCGTGATCCAGGAAGCAGGTCCTCACCAGACCCCGAGTCCGCCAGCATCTGGGCCTCGGACGGTCACGCCCCGGAACCGTGAGAAAGGCACGTGTTGTTCATAAGCCCCCAGCCTCTAGCGTTACTATTCCAGCTGCCACCGCCGGGACACCAGGTAGCCACCAAGCTGCTCTGGCGGGCGCCCATCTGGGGCTGAAGGCTGCGTGCTCCCCCTGCACCTGGCCTCACTCCTGTCCGTCCCTCGGCCCCTCGCTCCCTGACACTGGAGTGTTCTGGCCTCCACCTTTCCCTGCAGGAGCACCCCGGGCGATACCCCGTGCCAGGCTCCGTGTGTGCCACGTGGACGCCGACCCTTCCAAACCCAGGTGTGGACCCGGACCTGGGCGTGCTGTGGTCCGTGTGCCCACTGGCAGCGCTTCACTGGGCTCTGTCTCTGGCGTGTCTGCGCACTACCCTGCAGCTGTGAACAACTGCTCTCCAGCCACCCCCCTCTTTTCCTCCCTCTCCTGCTCACTCCCTCTGCCCTCTGGCTGCTCTTTTGCTCTTCTCTGAACAGGTCACACGTGCCGCTGCCCCAGGGCCTTTGCTCTTCTCTGAATAG